GATGGAATTGGGGGGGGGGGGGGGGTGCGGAAGCAGGGTGTTAGTATGTATGGGTGTATGTGACATTAAATTATTTACACATGCAGTATTTTCACACTTCTCCCTCCTTAAGTACAAGGATCAAACGCCATTTGCCATAGTTTTAGAGCTGTATGGTGACTTTTTTATGAACCTAGCAATAGAGAATTCAGTATCATGCTGGGTCTCAAGCCTAATAATGGCAATACAAGTGACTGGCTTTGCAATGAAATATTGAGTTCACCAGTGAAGTTGGTGAACCTGTGACTTCAGTAAGGACCAAGTCAATGCAGTTAACAATGTATACACAGTTGGGGTTGCTGTCATCTGGTGCTCTGTAAACCTTGTGCTTTTTACTGTAAGATGCAAGTAGTGATGTCTTTGTCAACACATTTTCTGTATCCTTTAGTTCTCTTGAAACTCCAGCTTGGTTATGTCTTATGGAAAGGTCTTTTGGTACAACTTTCCGTTTGGACTGCTTGTTAATCTGCTTGACTGTTCTTTGTTCTATAAGATAATGTGTAGTAGCTTATAATGAACAGAAACAGAACAATTACTTTTAGCCCTACCATAGGATTGCTGCTATTTTCTTCCTTCTTTTCAAGCTTTTTTGGGTTTGCTTTTGGTTTTCTTCCCATGCCAGGTAAGAAATAACCCAGCAGATTCTTTGGAATGATAGTTACCATCTGTAATTAGTTAGTATCTGCTTGAGTGTTCATTACTGGAAGTGATATTTTCTCCCTCTCTTCCAGTGTAGCTAGTGTTATTCAGCGGGCTGGCTGTCCTGTGCCAGACTATATAAAACACTTCCGTAAACTGCAAAGGTAAGGCTTTTGGTTTTGTTTCTTATTTTACTTTTGGGTCATTTTCCAGTTTGCATGGGGTCTAAAAGCCCACGTGACTTAGGTTAAGGGTGGGAGAGTTGCAAGGTATCTGGTAGATGTTCGTTGTCTTGTGCAAATGCCTTTTCTGCTTTTTTGAAAGCTGTTAGTTATCAAATTGCTGTTTCACATTTTTGTGAAGGACTGTGCTGGAACTCAGTTCTGTAGTGCAAAGGTGCAGCGAATAGATTTGAACAAAGCACAGCGTTAACCCACCCTTTTCACGTAATTTGGATGAGAGTCCCAAAACTTGGCAAATCAGACTTCTGAAGAGCTTGAATCAAATACATTCTATTTTTAATTTGAATGATTAAATTGGACCACTGTGACTTGGAAACAGATGGAAACAAAAAACAAAGTCTGCTTATATGTGGCTCATTATTTTGAGAATTTTGTTTTCACAAATGGGGAAAATGTAGCTGCATTTCTAAGAAGAAAAATACATTTACTCAGGTTTTATTATAACTTATTCAACAAAATCCACACACTTTAGTACTGAGGAAGCCCCCTTCCCTCAGGAATCTACTCCTATGCTTCCAATCCTGCTGCAGTCTCCAAGCAAGCAGCGCTCACTATGTCATTGTAGCACTGATGGGAGACAGCTGACTGAATTGATGCTGAAAATAGGTACCTGCTATATCTGTTGCAGATGATGACTTAGCTTTTAACAGATGTTGTTTTATTTTTGCTTTCCTAAATGCCTTTTTCAGCAAACAAAAGAAGAAATTTATTAAGAAGCCACTGGAAAGGGAGCACATTCGTACCATGCCTCAGTACTTCTTAGAAAAAGCAAAAAGGAAAAAGTAAGTAGTTTCTCTGAAGAGGGGCTGAGAGATCTGGTTTCATTTGCCTCCTTGATGGGCTTGAGCTTGAAAATTAATGTTTTATTGCAAATCTCCCCTTTGGATGAGTAGTTCCGTATATAACTCTGGACCTGGACAGATGTTCTAGATATCCAGGAGATGGGTCCAGGTGTGGCACCAGCAGTCCATGCTTCTGCATGCTGCCCTGCACTGTGTTCTTCAGAGCTGATCTGGATGGAGCACCTTTGGCTTAGTCCTTGTCAGCTGCTAGTAAAGCTGACAATTATGTTGGTGTGAGCATCTGTTCTTTGGGAACTGGCCACCAACCCATTATTCACTTACGTACATTTCAGCTTTCAGTCATAAATTCACTAGATGCCTTCTTTGCTAATTTGTTAATCTTTTTGTTTAGGAAAATTATCCAGAAAAATACTAAGGAAAAGAAGAAAGCTAAAGCATCCAAAGAAGATGCTCAACTGCAGACTGCTCCAGAAAGTTGATGGCTTTTGAGTGCTCACAAACAAACTGGACTGGAACCAAGCTAGACAAATCTATTGTATAAATACTTGAAACTGGAAAGTCCAAGATGACAACAAAGGACAAAGGAAGAGAGAGTAAAACTTCCTTTTTCTAACTTCCATATGGAGCAGTGGACACTAACATGCAAAAAAAAGAAAAAAAAAAAATCAGCTTAATCTGCAACATTATTTTG